AATCAATCCTTAATCGACCTTAGTGTTAAGCTCTCCCCTAAACTTGATCGACTTCAAGTACGACTGTATATTGCAAAAGCAGGATTTCAAACTGACATTTGCAAACGTTGTGCTTGGATCTAGCTTGTCGGAAGTTGAAGGATCAACCAAAAAATTATTGTTATGATGTACGCTTGCTCAATACGGACGACGACGAGGACCACACGGTGACTGGTGTCGATATAGATGCCCAACTCCACCCTATAGCTTCGGTGCCTTTATTGTCAAAGCTGATGTCCTTCCCACCACCATTGTTGAAGCCGCCAGATTGAACTTGTGCATTGGGTAAACCACCATTTCCCACGAACTACATCGTCGTTCGTTTGTATGCCTCTTGGAGGAAACATCACATTGGTCCTCCCCCATTTACCATCTATGCTTCATTTTTTGCTCGTGGGACAGTTGGCTACCCTAATCTAGGTGCGCAAGTTAAACCCCAACCATTGGTTGGTGCGTTTTCTTCTGAGTTGTTCCATTATGCGTTAAGGTGTTCGCGGGAATACACGATCGAAGTGGCTACTTGGCTAGCGAAAACCCTTTCAAGGTAAACTTGATGAGTCTCCCCAAACATGGTGGTGGCGAGATTGGAAAGTCCTATAACCTTCCTTCTCTCAAAGAACCAGAAAATGTTGAAAATATTTTTGAGTGGGAAAACATATTATTAAAATAAGTGGAGATTCATTTCATGCCTGCTTGTCTTCTTCCGTTGGATTTTACCATTATCCCAGCTATTGTTGACTTGGTTGACATGCATGTTGCTATGAATAAACTTGGCAGTCTGGTTCGTGTTGATCTTGCCATTGATGATTTAGTTCAAGTTGATATAGTGAGGTTCGAGAATGTAGTGCTGGCTAATATGGAGCTTGATTTCCAGAGAAAAAAGGTGACATTATTTTCCCTAATATGCTTATTGTGCCTTTTGATTACACTATCATACATCAACTTACTCTCAAATTCCTTAGATCTGGTTTTGAGGGTATTAAAGTAGAGGCAACAACGTTTGGCCAACATATGAGCATGTTATTCTCGGGTATTGTTGGGTTCAAGTTAACTGGAAAGTGCCATGGTAGTGTAACAACAACTGACTTGGTTTTAACTATGACTCAAGTGCTTAGGAAACATGGTGTTATTGGAAAATTTGTTGTATTTTATTAAGATGATGTTTCAGTGGATGTACATATAGAAGAAAAACAGCTTCCAAAAGGAGAAACTTGGTCTGTTCACAAGTTTGGTGGAACCTATGTAGGAAGCTCAATGAGAACAAAAAATGTTGCAGAGATAATAATTAATGATGATTCAGAGAGGAAATTCTTGGTTGTCTCTGTCATGTGAAAGGTGACAAATGTGGTGTATGATCTTATCTACAAGGCTCAATCTCGCGATGAGTCTTACATCTCAGCACTAGATGCTGTTTCACAGAAGCATAGCTCAACTGCACGTGACCTACTTGATGGAGATGATCTAGCTACTTATCAAACTTGCATCAAGATATTAGAGACCTCAAGGCAATTTTGCTTAAAGTCAACTACTCAGAGGAACTTGGCCTATACTCTGAGGCTGCAAATGTGTGCAAAATAATTATGGATAAGGTTGAATCCGCTTTACCTAATGGAATGCCCGAGGGTATTGGTGAAGATTGTAAGTTACAAGAAATGTTCCATAGAGCATTAGAGTTGCTTCCAAATCTATGGATCAAGGCAGGTTTTCTAGATGGAGTTGTCATTGCTTATAGGCGGGCGCTGGTTAAGCTTTAAAATTTGAAACCACGGAGGTTGGCTTGTGTATAAAAAGATTTAGCTAACACACTACTCTATGGTGGGGTTGAAGTGAACCTACCCTCTCTGTTGCTAGTGAGGGGCCAAACAATATAAGTAACATTGAAAAAGCAATACTTTTGCTATTAATACTCTCAAGAAGGATGACACTTTAGGAAATAGAGTGGAGTGCTGAAATAATGGATCATCTTGCATTTTCACTTTTAATTACTCTAATGTTTGAATCATTGGTAGATTATGTAGAGAAGATCCTTCCAGGTATCTATGATAGAGCTAAGAGGTGGTACTTTCTTGCTCTTTGTTATAGTGCAGCTAGACACAATGAAGCAGCCTTAAACCTTTCAAGGAAGGCTTGTGGTAGTTCTGAAGCAAAGCATAGACCCAATTTTCCTTCATTTTTGTTTAGAGAAAAACTGTGTTCCCAATATCCAAACCATGCTCATGAAGACATTAAATTTTCAAGGGGAGTTATTGATCTAGCCAAGCATCAAAATGAGCATTTTTTGAGTCAAGGCCAAAAATTTCTTGGGGTTTGCAATGGGGTTGCAGTGACAGTATTTGTACTAGATTCCAAAAGAACTATATTTCAGATAGAGTCTTTAAACTTGCTAAATGATGCTACTCTAAATGGGAATGATGATCCAGAAGCAATATTCAGCCTTGGACTGGAAAATGCAATGCAAAGGAATCTAAATTCAGCTTATGACAATATAATGATGTACTCATACATGATGGTTGGAAACTCAAAAAGAGGTTGGCAACTATTAGCACTCATAGTATCTGCACAACAACAGTTTAAGGATGCAAAAATTGTAGTTGGTTTTGCTTTAGATGAGGTTGCAAGGAGAGATCAATTAATACTACTAAGACTGAAAATTGTACTTCAAAGTGCTCAGCAGCAACCCAAGCAAGCAATAGAGACCTACATAATTGTACTAGCAGTAATTGAAGCAAAAAAAAAAAGCTTTGGCTTCAAGCTAAGAACTTCGATCAAGAAAAATCATTCAGGGTTGAGACTGAAGCTAAGGGTTTTTGAATCATTTATCTGCTTTCTCCACCACTAATATTTTGTATTTTTATCTTTAATCCCGGTATTGTTTTAACTCAACCTCGAGGACGAGGTTGGTTTGAAGGGTGATGGAATGTAACAGAAATGGCATCAACACAATTAGTGCTATAGTAGTATCCTTTAATCCCCCCTAATATTTTACTACCTTGTGTTAGTTCTCTATTTGTAATAGTCGTTGCCAATTCTGTTGCAACAAATTTTGGTGTTATATAGTGGAGTAAGGGTAATGAAATGAGTATGAGAAAATTGCTGGAAAACTCTTCTCTATCGTGACTCTTTCTCCCTTAATTCTCTCTCTCCTCCTCTTACCCTTATCTGCATTTGTTTTCCTCTGTAGCATCCGCTACATCTACGCCTTTTGTCATTATCAATTATTCCTACAAAACACCTATTTATTTCTCAACATAGTCTTTTAACCATGTAGACTTATGTCTATCTCTAGATAATGTTTTCCTCTCCGTAACATCTGTCTTAGTTCTGATGGGATATCGGTGTCTAACCCTATCTAAACTTTTTTTTTATCCAAATAATGATAATAATAAAGTTAATTTGTTAATATTAGAACACAAAATTTGATAATATTGAAATAAACTCTATTGATGATTAAATTGATCCCAAACACTACAAAGGGCCAATTGATCTCTAAGAAAGGAACGCGAGTTTGAATCTTCGATAATCAAACGAGAAGTAGTAGTATGAACAATCTATAAGAAGTTGAATACGTAGTTAAAAAAAAAAAAAAAAGACACCCACTTACAAATATGAGGAACAAAATGTTCTCAACTCAGTGCTTAGGAAACAGGGAGTGTACAATATGATGCTGTATTGAAATAGAAAAATAGAACTGAATGAATTTATCTGATGATGTCGAACAAAGTTTGAAAACCCAGCTTGCGAAGAAATAGGTTTGTGTAAAGAAGAAAAGTTGGTTGTTACTTTGACCCTTGATTTATTTCACCACATAAATCTTTAGAGAAAAATCTTACCGTGAAAGTTTCTATCAAATAAAGAGGACAATCATTGTGACATGGCTTTTCAACTAATGAGTTAAAGTTAAGTTGGCTATTCCAATGATCTTAAGAAACTTAACTTGATGGCACCCATATTATTATATTAGCCTTAAAATTTTATATCGTGTTAAAGTACCCATATTGAGTATTATGATTGCTTGTGCGTACAAATTTGGCTCTCCTAACAAAATTACACAGTAAACTAGGCAATAAAAAATAGAGAGGATATTCTTATTATCTTATTATCAAAATTTTCCACTACTAACTTATTTACCTATCTGATCACTATTGGATCAAAGACAGAGAATGCTAAAAAAAAATTGAAAAAAGAGAAAATGTTATAATCTAATGGTAATTAGATAAGTAGTGAGTTGGTAGTAAAAAATTTTGAGAGTAAGAATATACCTCCTTATAAAAAAATAGGGGAAAGGTTTTACTTTTACAGATAATGACACTTGTGCTTGAAGTAACCAAAATGACAATTCATGATTCTTGCCATCAAAGGTTACACATGATTGGGCACAAGGCATGAAAGAAAACCTGAAAGTGTCCCCAAAAAGGCTAATTAGTTTATTTATTTTTAATCCTTTGGTGAAACCCACAAGGGTACTTTGCTGTCAAAAGAACATCATGCCTTAAAAACATTGTTAAGCAAGGTTATGATAAGGTTATGATTGAACCTTTTGCGTTAAGACAATTGGCTTAAGAATATTGGTCAGTTGAAGCATAAGTCTACGGATTGGAAAGAAATTATGGTTGATAATGCGGTTTAGAGAATACAACAAACAGCACATGCGCTACTGCATGTGATTTCTTATCCTAATGATTATTTTTATAAGGCATGGAAGTTATGAACAAAAACTGAAATTTGGTATCCCATGCTAAAAAAGAAGAAAATATGGTAAATAATAGTATTATTTGGCTGATATTCATGGATGATCTTATTTTACTCTAAAACTCTCTCCACAAGTAATAGTATCATAGAAACAGCACAAGATTGAATATATGTTAAATAAAATTCATTCCTTAGGAAGAGGTACACAATTGCATCTTTAATCCACTAGATTATTTGGCTCAAACTAAGGAAAACCAATAAAGAGAGGACTACGAAATATATAACTGTAAAAATCTTGCAAAACAATCTATGCAAACAAAACCACACTGTCTACTTGTTGTTGTCTAAGGATCTAATTTAAGCACTTTTTGGGTAGATCTTCTTGGATGTCCTTAAGCCTGTGCAATGCAACTCTAATAATCACAGCGCTCTGCCTGTGATTTGTATCTTCTTGATTGATGAAAATGAAAATTTAGAAAGAACTTCTCCTTTCCAAAGTGAAAATGATCTGCTCTAAGTAGCTGAGAATTTGGTATAGCGCTTTGTTGCTTGAAGAAATTCAGCACCCCCTTCATGTGTTTAGTAGAGGAGAAACTAGAAAAATATGGGCACAACACTAATGAAACTTAAGTAACAGGAGATGTTGGCTCAACAAGCTTTACACGATGGTTCCCACATAGCCAAATCCTACAATTAAGAAGGTTATGGTCTGAAGGAAGAGGTACACAAAGTAGTTGTTTTTCCCATGCACAAAATCATAGCATCCACAGAGGAATAGGAAGGCCGCAAATCCCAGCTCCAATAAATTAAGTCTGTTCATGTTCAAACAAGAAGGAAAAGAAAACATACAAATTAGCCCAAAAAAATTGGATGAAGGATTTTTTTGATCCCACCAGAGAAAACAGATATTGATGGTTATTATAGGCCTAATATGAGACAATTTGAGACCTCTACGTACATATGATACTTCAAAATGAGGTAATCAAGTATGATTTGGCTAAGGCATAAAGTATATTCCATATATTTTGAGTTCATTCTATAATAATTTTAATTTGGGTTTTCTAAAATCTTCTGTCATGTGCATGTGGCAGAAACGTTTTGATTAGGGAAGCACGCTATTTGCAAAAGGAATTACAATGAATTTCGAAGAAATGTTCACCTACTAAGAGAATCTTAACTGACACGATGAAGAATAACTAAAATTTAGTCACAAGGAGCCACCAAATAGTCATAGAGCCACATGTTATTTCATACGCAATCATTAAATTATTGGCCACACAATCTAGAACCTGTCTCCATAATGCCAATGTGTATGAGTGACAATAATCACAATCGAGATGTAGAACTTGAAACTATAATGCCAAATATGCATCCAATTATTTCTTTTGGAAAAAAAAAAAAAAAAAAAAAAAAAAAACTGACCTTTCAAGAAATTTGGATCGAGTTTTTTTCGGGGTTTTGACATTACTCTTCTTGGCAGCATCTGCTGATTTATTCTTATTGTTGACAGAGTCACCAAGTTTTTCAGTTACAACCCATTCATTGACCCTTCCATATTCTAGCAGACCTATAAGGGTTGCTTTTGTACGGTGTAAAGACATCACATTCTCAAAAAGGATCCAGTAGAACAAAAGGTGAATGGACCTGCCAAAGTTCCATACAGCTTTTAGAACAAATTAATAGACTAAGCCTAAGATATAATGTGGCAAGTAAAAGAAAAAAAAGAGAGAGCAAATAAGACCTTGGTGTTCCTACTGAATTGAGAATGGTGATGATGGAAGGAATATAAACAGCTCCCCATATTGGAACATGAACCTCAGGGACCAAAATTGTAAGGGGAAGTACCACACAGTAGAAGAAGAAGGTGATCATGTGAGCTATGATTTTACGAACAAAGAAGAAGCTGTATATAACGTACACTTTCTTCCAAAAATTCACTTTCTGCATAAATGAGCACAAAATAAAAGAAAAAAAAACATGAGAACCTATGTGGAAATATGAACAACTTTCTTGTTCTTTGTTTTTGTTTGGTTCTTCATTCTTAATTAACATTGTCCCTTTCCCCTCTCATAAATGACACAAAAGACTAACCTTATTCCTTACTATCTCCATCACCATTTTTCGGAAAAGATTAGCAGGACCACAAGACCATCGGTGCTGTTGGTATCTGAAGGCTCTCAAAGTACTTGGAAGCTCACTTTTTGCCTATATAACGTTGTTGTTTGCCAATTAAATTTTTTTTTTTTTAAAAAAAAAAAACCACAATTACTATAAAAGAGAAATTTACAATAAGCAGAACAGAATCATCATATGATTCATATCCCCCTTTATTGCATGCAAAATATAATTAACTTGGGAAGTATATAGAAAGAACATTAACCTGTAGGTCTCCAAGGTACAAAAACTTCCATCCCCTAAGACTAGCACGAACAGCAAGGTCCATATCTTCCACTGTTGTTCTGTCTTTCCACCCTCCTGCTTCATTGATAGCAGCTATTCTCCAAACACCAGCTGTCCCTGCATTCATGTTCCGGAACAGCAACTTTCTTAATAATAATGTTCATTAAGTACTTAAACCTATGCTATTGACTATGTAACACTGTCTTATTATTATCTTGTAGGTATGGTGACGCAGCACAACATGTTTGGAAGTGTATAAAATAACTGAATTACCGTTGAAACCAAAGAAAGCATGAGTGGCTGACCCAACTTCTTGCTCTACTGTGAAATGGTAATCCAGAGACATCTCTTGCATTCTTGTCAACAAACATTCATTCGAATTCACTGTCACAAAACCCACCATTCCCATTGTGAGTATAACACATTACTGAATTTGTTATTAGCAATTGATTTATCATTCTCTTTTGTATCATTTAAAGGTCAAAATGAATAAATGAGAAGGAATATATGTAGAAACTAAACAGAAAAAAGAAAAACAAAGCAAGTAAACAACTCAGTGGCACAAAGTTTTTGACTTTTTCCTAAGCTAAGTACAAATCCAAGGACAAATGACACAATGCCAATGCCATTATAGTGGCAAACCAGAGGTACAATAAAGAAAAAGTCAGCTGTGGCCCCACATACACACACACACATGACACATCATTAGTTTATTTTATTTTTTTAATGTTAGGAAAAATAATATAATATGGAAATGAAAGCTTAATTTAAATTATTTAAATAAACTAACAGTAACTCTTATACAATATATAACCAATATTATGACTCAATTAAAGAATCAATAAAAAAAAAACCCACCTAACTCAATTTGTTAGGAAGTTAATAGAAGAGAAGAGAAGAGAAGGGATATATAGGTGAAGTGTCGGCAAGGAAGGGTAAGGTCCACCATTAAGCACATGGAAGTACCTGCACTGTTATTATTATTATTTTTATCTAAACCCAGAAAAAATACTGCAAAACCACGTGGGAAGTGGGAACTTTGTAGTTTGGACGGATTCCAAAAAAGACGAATTTGCCCCGCTACTATTTTCTCTCCCAAACAGTTACTACACGTTAATGGCATATCCATCACAAGATGCAAGAGGATCCAGAGCCGACAGTTCTACTTCTACTCATTTAATTCGAAAATAATATATATATATATATATATATATATATATATATATATGGGGTAGGATATTCTTACACCGGTGTAAGAGTTAGAAGTTTTACACTCAATCTTGACCATTGATCCACTTGTATCCAATGGCTCACGTTACTAAATTTTTTGAACCTTTAGATATAAGTGATATCAACAAACAAGATTGAGAGTGTAACTTTACATTACAAATACCATCATTCATTTTTAGCATTTTAACTATAGCTTCAAGCAAAATGTAGAAGCACAAAACAATAATTATCAGAGACACCCACTTAAGAATATTATATTTTGTATGTTCGCATAATGCAATGAATGGCGATTCTTCTTTCCAATCTTTCACTTTTTATATTTTTTTTCTCCTCTAAATGGGACCATGACCGTGAAGGAAACAAGCTTAACGAGGATGGCTGGGCCTGGCTTGTTAGTGGTCCCCACCCGTGATTGAAGGGGCATGTTTTCATGGACCCTTCCCCCTTTTCGGGTTAGCCCGGGTCAAACAAGACAAAGGGGAAAGTGAAAGTCCACTCTACACCGAGACTAAGCATTGAAAAATCAAAATCAAAATCAAAATAACACTACAAACGACTTTTTTTTTTTATCAAAATAAAAAAAGGAAAACTAGAAAATGAGATGCCACCGACACTACGAATCTAGTAACTCAGTAAAAAAAAAAAGTTGGTGTCTTAAGTGAGGTCATAATGAGGGTCAAATAAAAAACAAGGCGAGTTCAGTGAAGTGAAATATGAAATAGTGAAAAAAAAAAAATTACTATGACTTACCAAATCTCCAGCGAGCTTGAACAAGAGCCATCTCAGGGTTGCATGCCAAGAAAGGAATGGCTCGCCTCAGAAAGTCTGGCTCTGGCCGAAAATCTGCATCAAAAATTGCTACATACTCGCAGTGTTTCACATAGCTACGTTTTAGACCTTCTTTCAGAGCACCTGCTTTGTAACCCGTTCTGTTTTCTCTGATTTGGTACGTTATGTTGATGCCTTTACTTGCCCATCTCTGGCATTCCGTCTCCACCATTTGCTGCAATGTAATTTTGGTCTTGCTTTTTAATCTCATTTAATTCATAAATTAACAACAACAAAAAAAGTACACTCATTTAAGAGGTCAGTTGATTCATCCAGCCAAACCCCAGATCATAAATGCATCAACTCTCCATGTGATTGAAGCTTAGAAAGTGTCAATTTTGGGATTTGGAAAGATGAATTTGATATGAGTTGTGAACTACACAATGCCATAAACTAAAAAAATAAATAACATAAAAATAGAACTCTTGGGACTTGAAATCATAACTGAATAAATGCTAATCTTAAAATTGCCTCATGTTAAAAGCTGAAGAAAGAAGCCTATATCAGAAAAGAGTTGGAAAAAAAAAAATGTAGAACACCCATTAGATAGCTCAACATTAAATTGAAAAAAAACCAAGACTTTATCAATGCCAAGATTTTTTTAGTACCTTAACGACAGGGTCAGTAGAATCATCGAGTACTTGGATCACAAGACGATCCGCAGGCCATGAAAGCCCACAAGCTGCTCCAATAGAGACCTTGTAAACCTGACCCAGAAACCAACCCAATCAAACCATAAGCACCAATTTCAAAATTTATCACTTTTTGCATATAAATCCATAAAGACAGAATCACCACGGGTAAAACAGTGCAATCAAAGAGCACAACCAAACAAAGAACAAAAAAAATTAAAAGACAGAGAGAGAAACAGTGAACAACAGAGAATCTTTCACCTCTTTTTCATTGAACATTGGAATTTGCACAAGAACAACAGGGAAATTGGAGCTTCCTAGTTCCACATCGTCTTGGATGGGCTCGTACTTGTAGCGCTGTTCAGGTTTCTTCCAGAAGAGCTTAACGAGGATGATAACGACACCCATGTAAAGCCTCTCCATGAAGAGCATAAGTGACATTGCTAAACAAATGTACACCGCAACATTCAGCAAAGGCACGATCAATGGCGCTTTGATCACATCCCAAACCAGCTTAATCTGTCCACCAACATCATAATTCACGTTCTGGATTGACTCTGGTATGAGAAACTTTGGTTGGGACTCATCCATTTTGGTAATTGGTCTATAGTCTCTCACCCAATTGAAACTAGCAGAGAAAAAATAGCTCGAAGTGAAAAAAAATTTAGGACAATGAGCTCAACTGGGTAAGATAAAGAGACCCAGAAAAATGTTGTTGATTTCAAAACTTGGGAATTTGTTTATTTTGCAGACTAAGAAGAAATGATACTTATAGTGCAGATCTCTCTCTTTTCACACATGGAAAAATAGCTACTTTCTATACTGTTAAGGCCACTTTTCTCACGGTAGAAACGAATACCTCTCTTTCTTTCTATCGTTGTGAGACTGACAGAGAGAGAGAGAGAGGGAGAGAGAGAGAGAGAGAAGAGGGAATATGAGAAGGGCAATAGATGCAGAGATAAAGGGTTTCTTTTATAGTCAGATTTTGGTGATACAATTTCTTTCATTTAATACGTTTTTATCATATTATTGATTGGTTGTTTTTCTCATTCCTCTTTCTTTGCTATTGCATTGAGTGTCCTTTCCGACATTAGAAAATGCTGTTTCTCTTAACTCAAGTAATCTGTTTCTGTAACTAAAGGTTGGTTTAATATTAGTGTACCCAAAAAAAAAAAAAAAAGTTGGTTTAATGTTAGTGTAACAAAAAAAAAAAAGTTTGTTTAATATTTAACCAGTGTTTTCTTTATCTTAATTCCTTGAATTCGAAAGGCGACACTTGATGATAAGATTGGTAGAGAAAAAAATATACATCCGCGAATATAAGAAAGTGAATTTTTTTGGGAATGTTTTCGAAGATGTTACTAAAAAGTTATTTGTTTATCTAAATATTTGAATATTGGGTTAATCTTATTGATATTATATTTGGTTATTTTTTTTTTGAAAAATTAATTCATATTTTTCATCGTCTGGAATCCTTGAAATACCACCACCCTCTTGATGATATTTTGATTCTAAAAATACACACAAAATGGAATCCAAAAAAAAATTCCGAGAAAATTTTCTTGAATATGCTATCAAACATGAGATTATAGAAAACCTACTATCATTTTGTCAAGCATCTAAAAATAATCCTCCTATCAAATATTCCCATTAGGGTTTTTTTTTTTTTTTAGCTTTTCAAGTTGAATATAATTTTACAAAAGCTTTTATAATAAAAAGAGTTTTTTTTTATAATGAAGAAAAAAGTCAAAAGCCAAAAATTCTTAAGATAAGTTTTTTTTAAATTGTATCAGCTTTTTTTTGAAATGTGTATTTTTTTTTAAATGAACAGTTTTGAAATAACTTTTAAGCTAAAAATTTTATATAATCACCAAATAATTTGTAGCTTTATTTTTAAAGTTTTTTTTTTAATTTTAGTTTAAAAATAACTTTTAACTTAAAAAAAAAGGTGTCAAATAGACTCTCAGTGGATATTAGAAGTGGATTCTTGAAATTGTCCAAAATAAAATTAATCTGAATTAAACTAAAATCTGATACCAAATTACTTTTTTGTTATATTGAATATGTTGTGTGAGTGGATAAGTGTCTTTTATTTGTGGGAATATAATAGTACAAGATGACTTCATTTTCATGTTGGAAATAAATTCAATTTATGGGTAAATAAATTTGTATTAGAAGTCATCAAATAAGGTTTACCAAATTAAAATGATTGACTCCAATTTATGAAAATTTATGAGATTGTTAATGTATCATCAAGTGTAGCTATGAAAGGTCAAAATATAACTGTTGATTTTATAATTGACTAAGTCAGTAGTTAAGAATTATTGCTCAAATAACAATTATATAAAAATAATTATGATTCCCAAGTTATAAAATATGTGTCATTTTTCAAGCTCTATCAGTAGAGTGAATGAGAGAAGGCTAAGAGGTTAAGAATTATTGCTCAAATAACAATTATATAAAAATAATAATTATTCCCTAGTTATAAAATATGTGTTTTTTTTCAAGCTCTATCATTAGAGTGAATGAGAGAAGGTTGAGAGGTTTTCTCTAAAGAGTACTTACAATATTAGGTTTGAAAGATCATCACTTCTTCAATCAGAAATCTCATCTTTAATTATGTGATGATTTTCACTATATATCTTAATGCCATATGTGTGTACATCAACAGTGCATACTTTAAATTTTCTACATAAATGTACAGAAAAAGGAGTAAAAATAGGCACTCATAGTATCAATGAATTAAAAGTCATACATAGGCAAGTAGTAAATATTAATAAACACCCCAATAATTATTTTTTTTAGTTGCATCTATTTATTTATTTATAATTCATTTTACTTTTTTCTCAACTAACTAATTATAGTATGCAAGCGTTGAAAATTGAACCTTGAACCTATGAATTAACAATTGTGACGTTACCACTAATTAAGTCATTGTAGAGTGTTGCTTGTTTTTTATTATATATTATTATATCAATTCAATTTAAACCATTCGATCATTAATTTACGGATTATAATATTAATTCTATTTATATATAGAATATAAATTTCCTAGCATAACTGCATGTACAGTTTGAGAGAATTTTTAATATATTTTCAAAATAATATTCTAGGAAATATTTTAATTGTTTGTGTTTAAATTAATTATACTTCTAAATCTGGAAACCTATTTAATAATATTGTAATATGGTTTTTATATTAAAATAATATAATACTACTAAAATACACAATAACTTATCATGGGTTGGTGAAGTTAACATAATTCTAACTGAAGGTATAAATGACAGCGTAACTTGTATAAGATAAAGATGCAACTCGCATTTAATATGAATTTTTTATTTGGTCTAACAATTAATATGAATTTATTGGAAGTAAAGATTCTTCCTTCTCTTTCATATTCTGTATATGGAATAATGGTGAAATAAGCAAATGAGTAATAACTGAACTTTTCAAATCCTATCTGTTTTATTGTTTTTATTAATGGAAGGACATCGCGGCCTGCCTATGTGCGATTTCACAGTACAGATGGCGGCAGCTGTCTGTGACAACGAATAATTAGATCAGTTCATTGTCTGCACCCTTGTTTTAGTCCTTTTTTTTTTACTTTTCATTATTATTATTTATTATTTATTATTTTTGGGAATTGTTTGAAGTTGAAATCTATTTTTCACAACCAAGCACGTGTACTAACTCCTAAGAAATTATTCCAGTTTAATTATTGGTATTGAGTGGGTATAAAATTATATTAAAAGTTTGTTAAGAAAAATTTTACTGCCTTGTATTCCTGTCCGGTTTTACCGGATTACTAGATCAATCGCCTGAGAAATTTTTTTTAAAATAAAAAACTATTTTTTTGTTTATCACTTTGATACTGATCTAGAATCCCTCCATTATTGTTGATGAATATTTCATATTTGGATGATGCCGAAGTATTATTGTCAAAAATTAATGTAAAGGTTTATGTTTTTATATTTTTATTGAAGTGATACGTGTTAAAATATATGTAAAAAAATTTCCCGGTAAAAATTTCATGTAAAAACATAAAAATGATAAAAATTTAAGTTTTTACATTTTTATTTAAAACAAAAAATTGAATCGGATCAACATTTACCTCGTGACCTGGTTTTATTTTATTTTTTCAAAAAAGAAATAAAACAAAAAAACCCTACTTTCATTTTCCGCAAATCAAATGCATAATATCTTTTTTCAGCTATCCGGAAAAAAATCCTTGGAGGAGGTCGTTGTATTTTCATTTAAGCATCGTTAAACTTTATTCTTTTGATGTTTTGAAATTTGGTTATATGAGTGGTTAAATTTTTTTTGTGTTTTTGGACTTATGTCTTATATAGTTATATGATTTATATCTTTTAAATATAAATTTATTTATTGAATTTTGAGTAATGATTTATGTGATTTTTTTTGACATATATATAGATATAATTTTATATTTTAACCTTAAGTAATAAATTTTTTATATTTTATATCATTTTACGATTTATATTTTACCATTCTCTTCCATTTGTAAGTAAAAATTCTATTTTGAAAACATTATTCAGAAGCAATTATGACTTCAAAGAGGATATTCTCTCTCTACCAAGTAAGTCTCTATAACTTCAGTTAAGTGCACTTACATGCGGAAATTATTTCTCTGGTTACTCTTTCTCTCTCCTCTTTCTTTCTCTCTCTCTTCTCTCTCATTTGTCTTCCTCTTTCTCTCACAAAAGGTGCATTGGTCCGGGCTCTCTACATGTTTGCTCGTTACATAGACTATATAGGAGTGGAGATTATTTTTTGTGAACCTGATGGTCCCTTAGTATAAATAAGAGAGTAAAATTAGAAAAGAGGAAAAATAACAAAGATAAAAAGAAAAAATAACAAAGATAAAAAAGGAAAGAAAAAATTAATAACGTGAAAGAGAGCACCAAAAAATTCATTGGCCCTGGACCATAGTAAATATTCCCATAGAAGTGCTATCTATCATTACACTTAATGTCCTACAGAAAATACGCCATTTAATTTATTTAGTTACTCTGCAAATACATTAAATTGATTATTTAAATACAACAATAATGTTTAATCATTTTTTTTTCATTTCAAATACATATTTTTATTATATGGTTGTTATATCTTTCCTTTCCAATACTTAGAAGTGCGAAGACAAACAAAAATATGGTAAAGGAAATTTTCTTTTTTATCCAGAAATCTCAATTTTTAAAATTATAATTTTTACATTTAGTTTACGATAATATCTTAAAATTAAATTTTTTAAAAAATTCAATTTCTCGATAAATCCCAAAAATTCCGCATACCAAACAGGCCCTTAGTCCAAACTCAAAGAGCCAATCTGTCGGTTTCAATGAACTGGAAAAATGAACGTACAAAAAAAATGTTTATAAAAATAGAGAAATTAGTTTGACATGTTGTAAAATTGATATTGTTTCTTCTTGCAACAAGGATTCGGTTCCGTATCCTTACATTTTGGTTTTGGATTCTGAGTTTTTTTTTTTTGGGTTTTATAAGAGTTATGTTGTAGTAAAAGTGATTGTGTAATGTTATAGAGATTCATTTTGCGTGCCGTAATTTTTTTTTCT